ATGTAACATGTACGAAATTTAGATATAACTACATTTTAGTCTCAATTCTTTAAAAATATTGAGGTTATCATTGGTAACATCTGTACACATGTACCGAACAACGATATTTAATGCATTATATTACTAATAGTTTAATTTCTTTAAATTCGGCACGCTAATAATAGAAACCTAATAGAACTTATTTTTAACCCAGATTACATAAAGTTATTTGCAGGTTCTCGAACAAAACAGAATTATTGTGTTGCACATTTGTAAATACTAAAGTGTAATTATATTTAAATAATCCACAATTAATTCAGCCATTTTTGTATTTCGGCTTAAATAATATATTTTACATACCAATTCTCTTTAGAAACCTGCTTTCGAAGGAGGTGTTGCAAAGTATTTTTTGTTTCTCCTTATAAAAGACCGACTGCAACAGACATAAAATAAGGTAATATATGTATTAAGTAATTATTTAAAAGCAATAAAAAGTGATACGTACCCAGACGCAAGAGGAGTATTAAAGAAACCGCGAGAGGTACTACGTTTGAGTAAAGACTCAGTAGATGGTGTATGTCTTAGTTCAGCAGTCTTATGAGTAACAATATTGCTTAAATTTTCAGGGTTGACGAAATTTGCCCAATAATCAGAAGGGATTTTCAACAGATTTTCAACTATCTGTAAATATGTTAATATTTGTTAGTTTCCATTTAAAGCATTTCATCTTGTTAAGAAACTTACCGCAACTTGATTTCTGGTCTCTGTGAGCAAGGAAGTTGGCGATGGGTTTTGACAACTATAACCCACCAGTGTGGGTCCAAAAACTTTGGCCAGATTACTTATAGGCATTTTGCATTCAGGGCTGCTTGATACTCTTTGTAGGTGTAATATTAGGAAAGCGAGAGTATCTCTGTTAGGCTGAGGTAATTCTGAAATCGCCTGATATAAAGCAGCGTCAGCATCCTGTTTATCGTTAATAGTAGTGGCGCGAACAAAGTCCGCCCATAATCCTACAGTAATTAATGGTTCCCGCAAAGACCTGGTGATAAAAGATAACGATAGATTTATTATATTTACTTATATTTACTAGTTTCAGATTTGCATACCTGAGAAAATCTTTAAGAGTAGAACATATGGTGGCAATATCAACTTCAGTAAGATTGGGAGCACCTCTGCCCTTGAGGAACTTTTCTTTCAGACATTTTACTTCTGTTGTACCACCATTTACTCTATACAATCCTTGTTCACTCATTCCTCTTAATTCCACTTCGTTGATGCAATGAACAACCAATGATGGTACCATTGGTGGAATCATAGGTGTATAATCTGCTATGGTTCCCTAATAAACACAGTAATGTTCACGGTATTGTTTATGTTCTTGGATATGGAATTAATGTTTTGTCAACAAAAAAAAACTCACTGAAGTGCCACGTAAAGTAGGTGTATTTCCAGTGGGTACGCATGGTAATGGTACCATTTCTTTACATTCTGTGTGAGCTGTAGCTCTACAGTCTCTGCACTTTAAAGCTACTTTACCAAACCTAATTCTGAAATTTTGTTTGTTGTGAATTTTGTCATCGTGTTTTATATAAAATACAGAAATAAAGTTAAAATCTGGCTTAATAAGTACCTTTTATCACAGGATGTGCAAACTTCTGGCTTAATCACTGTTTTAGCTATGAAACTATGACCCCTAGCAGATTTTGTATTTAAAGTATATCCCCCTATATTAGGACTAGGTTTAAAAATACCCTCAGAATCTGATCCTGATGTAAGGATATCAGCTTTCGGTGCAGAGGGCTGTAATAGAATATTTTAAAATAAGAAATACATAAGATTAGGGCTATTCCATGCACAGAATTGTTACTCACTGTAGCATTTATCTGTTCATTATTTGTGTTAACAGGTGTTAATTTTGATTTACTGCGATCACCGCTTTTGCGCTTTTTGGCTGAGCTGGGTAGTGAACCCTCTGGATCTGCATTTTCATTTCCTGGTATAGCTTCGATTACAGAAGATGCAGTGATAGCTCCTTCTTTAGGTACAACTACAGTTGTTGTAGCTACTATCCTATCAGATGTATTTAATTCTGCAATCTTTTGTACATTACTACGGCGTTTCTTTGCAGAATATTCACCACTAGGTCTGTGTTCTTTCCATTCACGTTTCTTTTGACTTTGTTGAATGAGTACACTGGTATCTAAATCATCTTCTGACTTTGAAAAGCAACTTAAGTCGCTTAATATGGAGCCAGTGGAGTCCAGCTCCGCTATAGTATTTAATCTGAAATATTAAATTATTTAGTATCTAAAGCAAATGGATCTGACCACAAGTAAAAACTTACTTATCATTTTGCTGTAAATCTTTAATATGTATGTTACTATGACGCCCATTCAATGTAGTATTATTTAAGAATTGTAACTTCTCCCTGGTTTCATCATTTAAATTTCTTCCGCCATCATTGAATAATAAGTCCCTAGCCATACTAATTTGTCTTTCCTACGGATATAAGGATAATGAAATAATGCTAATATACAATCACAACATTAATGAATTATCGTGCTCACCAATGAATTTCTTTGCTCCTCCACGGTCCTTCTCTTTCGTTTTTCTTCATCTAGGAGTCTCCTAGCATGACTTAATTTACGATCTAAATCTGCTGCTTCTTGGTGAGCTTTCTCTAAAGCTGAATGAAGACGCTGGCATTCTTGAATAGATGCCAGCCATTTTTGTCGCATCTCCTCTTGATTGATTGCAAATTGCAAAAATTCTAAAAATTTTACACGAGGTGTGTTGGTTTCATACTTAAATAGTTTCACTAACACAAGAGATGTTAATGAACTTTGACAAAAGGCATTTGTAAATGATAATAACTAGACTGCAGATATTTATGCATTTATACACAGGGTGTAAGTATAGTATAAATCCAAACCTTCTTCGCAGGCTCCATTGACGAGCACGTTCGTACAACGAACCACTTCATCGTGACTAGCCAGCAATGATAATGATGAGGTCATTTTGGAATCGGTGTAATGTTATTTAAACATAATAATAGTATTCTGTCATGTATGGAGACCACGCAACAAGTCTGCGATAATCTTCCGTCGATTAATCCTCCTTTGCTCTGTTAAAATGATCAATTCATTGAAATGTTTTCTTGGAATTAACACGACTCACGAAGAACATATTCGTTACAAATTTTCGTGTAAAACTTACTATAAATGGCCCAAGTAACGCGCCATAAAACCGTTTGAAACGCACGTTGGACGCACAGAACGATAAGACAGAACAACCGCTTTCTTCGCCACTTTAAATTCGACCAATTGCAGAGCAGTATGCGCATGCTATATCATCGTCAAGTTCGTCGTCGGTCCGTGAGGTGTCTCCAACGTCATCGTGATGCTGGATGTACTCCTATACCTCGTCTGGACTAATTACCGTGAGTTCTCGGTAACAACGAGAGCGACAAGGACTTGGTATGCGGTTTTAAATTTTTCCCGCTAGGAGAAATGGCGCTAAATGCAACTTCTCAAAAAGCAAACAATTTTTATTAACATTTGCATCGTCTCCCTTCTTGATGTAATTATTACCTCGCGCAGTCGCCATTCAGTATCGAGTTGCAAACAATTTTACATTACCATCGGACAATTAGAATTTCTCCTGTATTACAATTTTTTTGAAAAATATAACATTTTTCCTATTATTCTTGTTTCTCTTTTCTTGACCACAAATCGAGCAGTTTGAATCGGTAATATATTCTCTAGAAAATAGAGTACATTTAAACCGAAGTGCATTAAAATTAATGTGTTTCGCAAAATAATTATTGCAACCGTAACACGAACACTTCGCTTTACATTTCAATTATCAGAGTTGAACTTGGGAATCGAATTATCTTCGAACAATAATTGTATGCAAGGCGTGATAATTCTCTTTAGACAGAAGCGCCTCTAATAACATCTGTCACGACGAGTTAAACTATTTGCCATGTGCGTCAGCTCCCCACCGGACGTTATTAACAGACAATTATTGTCTATCGGAACGTACATGCGAGCATATTCCACGTCCGGAACCCGGTCTTTTTTAGGGACGAAACTTTCGCCGCCGCGACTGCATTCTGCCAGGTGTCGAGGCATCCATGGGAATTGTGCTGATAACTCATCGCGCATTCTCACGGTGATCCAACACACGACAGTGTATATTAATGGGCAATTACTTCTAGTTAAGCATGAATTAAATTTCATTAAAATCGTATCGTCTCACCTGTTCGCGTTGAACAGGTATCCGACACGTTTCTTAGCGTCTGAGCGAACTGAACTTCGAATTTTAACAGAGATCGCGCCGTCATGATTTACGGATCAAATGTATCACTTTGGAAATTAGAAAAATATATTTTTCTAATTCCGTGACATGTGTATAATAATTTCATAGGAAATCGTAGGAGAATTAATGCCATGACAATACATAGATTTGAATTGAATTCCTATCCCTATTTTAGAAAAATAGGGCTGCTTTTTCATAGAATACGCTTATGTGTTTATTGTTTAGCACAATGGAACGTAACAAGACAAGTCAATTGTTTTGTGGTTTGGGAAAGCCGAAAAACGTTGCGGCGATGGAATCGAATGCCGTGTGTGCCATTGTACGTTCGAAGCCCACAGATAGCAGAAACAAAGCTGTCCTGTATTGGAATGACAGTATTCCCATAACGATAGCGTCATAATCACGCACATGTCGTTCGCTTACCGGTGCAACCACCTGGAAAGTATTTCTCATGGTGGACGACACCGATCATAGGGGTAATACGTGGATATCAAGACAAATAACCGCAGTCATTTTTATTTCGGTTCGAGCACCGTGGAACTTCCATCGCTCAAATAACAAGAAAATATAACTTTCAAAATAGAAAACATCTAGATAATGGTTGTGGCAAGTTCATAATAAAATTGCGAAGACTTTATGCATCCAAAGTTTTAACCTCTCAAATTTGTAGAATGTAACATTTTCTTCTACCTAGATGCAAGAACATAATTTACAGTGTGGGATACACCATTTTTTTACACTATTTTTTATACAATAAATATAATAATAGAATTATAATATAATAATATAATTAGGAATTTATCATCAAACTCCAATTATTTTTTGAAGATACCATAGGTCAGTTCGCGAATTTATTTAATCTTTCAACTTTTATTTTATAATGATTTCATATTTTACTTATTTATTTTTGTCAAAAATGTTTCTTCTTTACAGTTAATTGTTTCATTGAATCCATTAATGTATACTCTCTTTTAGTAAAATATTAATGTCTTCCATCCTTTAAGGGGTAATCGGTTTTATATGTTATATATATATGGTTTTATATGGTTTTATTTGTCCTATAAAAATGATTCAAAGGAATACAAAATTATGGTTCAATTGCTGAGGTATTTAACACAATTGCATCTCTGTCGAATTATTTGTCCAGAATTAAAATTAGATTATACATAATGTCTGTCACAATAATAGCGCATTCGGACCTTTCGAAGGTGCGATAGGTTCACGTGTATAATGGTGATTCAGCTGCAGCCTCAAATCGATCAGTGAAACTTATTAACCCTGTTTCTTTAGTTAGAGGCACTGAGGAGCTTCTAATTGCTGGCCAAAGAACTAGACCGCTCGTCTTCAGATGCAAATGCATGCCCCACTTAAGTAAACTATAGGATATTCCGGCATATTTTGCATAATCCTAAATTTAACAATAACAAGTCTGCAGTCACAGCTGCTGTAAGTACGTTGCATGCTGCGAAAGATTAACCTAGTCCTGAAAGAATCGAGGACACGCAGAATCGGGTAAATCTCTTGCAGAAGGGTGCGAGGAAACTGTTCCATAGATCAGGTTCCATCATCCTGTGCTATTATACAATTTTCACTGACCTAAATAAAATTGTACAATGTTTAATCATCATTTCAACTGATACTACAAATTCAGGCATTTTATAGCTCCAGCAATATGTCGTTCATTAAATTCATTAATCTGTTTATGTTTCTTAATATATGCAGAGTGCAGCTGACTATAATAAATACTTTATTTAATAAGATTTTGAATTATTACGCTGTACTATGAGGAATCTAAAAATATTTTTCTACGTGATAAACCCAAACGAAGTTACTAGATTGTTACTGAGGTGAAATTGTTGGTACACAATTAAAATCGCTATTGATATTGATACAATTATTAGGAAGTTATTAATTATAAATTGTCAAAAATCTCACAAATTGAAAAATCGCTGGTAGATGCAATCGAGTTGATACTACGTTTAATTTAATTTTTATAAATGATTCATAGATCTTTTTAATGTATTCGAAATCCAAGTTCCTCGATATTAGAAAAACTTGCATTTCTTTGAATCGAAGTGACTCAATTACTCCTAGAAGATTAGTATTTCACTTGAAGCTCCACAGTAGGACTATCTCGCAGACACATAGTTGACTTCAAAAAATCGCTATAAGATTGCTTATTAAAATTCTCAATTCCGAAAAGAAGAAATAGATTTAATTAGAAAGAAACGTATTTCCTAAGCAGTATACTTCACTACAGTGCAACTAGATCATGGATTTTCTGCATTTCTGACTAAAACGAGACGAGCTACAAAGCCGAGAAACGCTGAAGGAATCGAAGAATATTATTAAAAAATGGGAGAGAATTATTAACACGTTCCGTGCCACGTGTACCATCGATGGTACACGCTTGCATCTGTCTCTTATACACATCTAGATGTGTATAAGAGACAGATGCAAGCGTGTACCATCGATGGTACACGCTTGCATCTGTCTCTTATACACATCTAGATGTGTATAAGAGACAGATGCAAGCGTGTACCATCGATGGTACACGCTTGCATCTGTCTCTTATACACATCTAGATGTGTATAAGAGACAGATGCAAGCGTGTACCATCGATGGTACACGCTTGCATCTGTCTCTTATACACATCTAGATGTGTATAAGAGACAGATGCAAGCGTGTACCATCGATGGTACACGCTTGCATGTTTACTTAGTGAACTGAACAAATTGTTTACAAGAAATTTAGAACCGAAGAATCAATTTCCACCGCAAGAATGGGCGTTGATAAGTTTTTGTTACGTTGTTATGTGTACGAGAATTAATAATTGCACGTAATACATCAAGTTTTAGTAAAATATCAAAGTGTGAAGATTCGAGTAAAAAAAGCTCGGCACGGAACGTGTTAAAGTTGTTCTCTTTCCACTCTAAAATCTTTTTCCCGCTGACGACAAGACTTTAGAAATCGGACGGCCCGAGCACATAAATTCATGTGCTAGCCATTAACAACAGCGGAAAACAAAACGAGCGAGCGTGCGCAGGAAAAAAGATTGGCCAAGCGTCGGGATGCCGTGGCGGGAGCCCTAACAAGCACGATTGCGGCAAACAAAGGGAAGAAGGAACGGTCCGTTCGAAATGGCCCCTCGCGGCGCGGAATAATCGTCTCTTTGATCGATCTTGGCCCGCCACGCGAAGTCACACGAAGGAATTCCGGCGGGAAGGTCCTTGCACTGATAAATGCCCGAAAAATTCCAGGTGTAAGTGACACCGGGCCAAGAGGGACGCGTGCCGTTTTCCCACGTGTGCGCACCCCTCGCGATTCCACTTCATTCTCCTTGCACGATCCGCCGGGGCCCCTTCCTCGCCTTCTTCTTCTTCGAGCCGTGATTGCTATGCCGCGCCGGGCTCTCTACTATTGCTCTCCCCTTGGCCCCCAGCACCCTGCAGATGCTCTGCTTAAGATTTCAAGCGAAGCCCCCCTTAGAGAATCCGACGTCACGCCGCATGACGTGTGCATCGCGTGACGTCACGAGCATGTGCCCACGGAATCCGCCGGTGACGTCGAGGAGGGGTAATCATTCCACCTTTTTTCTCTCTCTCTCTTTCTTTCACTCTTGTTCTCCTCCGGTAAGTCGATCCGGAACCAGGAATAGTAAATGGGCAAGGGTCGTGGGACTCGAGGAAATCGCAGATGCCGAAGACAGATGCGAAACAGCACGTGTGTTTCGCTGATACGCGCGTACGGCACCCAGGAAACGTGCTATCGAAATATTTGGGGATTTGCGGACACGGGGACGCACAAAGAGCAAACCAGTTTCTTTCCTCTTGCTCCTTTCTTGCTCACCTTTCGCCATTCCTGTTCTTCTTACCTGATTTTTATCGTCACCGCTTCGAATTCACGGCCACTGCTCTGACCGTTTGGAAAACCGATCGCCACTTCGCGCGTCTCCACGACTTTACTCTTGCAAAATTTCGCCATAAGCGTTTAGAGATCTGTCAC